CTATGTAATATTTTCTCAAATGAAACATTTTTTCTCTGTTCTTGATATACACCGACTTTCTCCACAATTATTAAGTTTTTCCATAATTATAGTCTGGACAAATTATATATCATATAAAAATATAACTCTTCCTCTAAAACTTAGAAAAAGAATATTAAAAAAATAATGCACCCTGTTTAAATGGCAGGCCTCCCAAATTTGGTAGATTTTAGCGTAACTCTGTAAAAGTTTTATGAGAATATATTGAGAAATATTTTGAGTTTAGATGATGAGATATACTGTATGACTATTTCCCCACACATACATGTTATCAATGTATTGATAAATTAAGAAATCTCTTCAGTTTTACCATGTATGTGCCAGGAAAGGGTCATACAGTATACCAAATCATCTAAATTTAATATGTTTTTGCAAAAATTATTTCTAACCTTTACGTCCTCCAGGTGCTATAAAATTCTTAAGGATAATAAAATACTGTAAATCATATGATATTCATAATCAGTGATAACAGGCCTACAAATGGATGCATAGATTGATCCCAACAATTAAGTTTTGAGAGCGCGCCATAGAGTTGAAAATTTTGCATTTACTTAAAACTCATACCTTACTTGTAAAAACAAAAATAATTAAAACGTTATTAAATTTTTTTATTAAATTTGTGTTTCAGATGACGACGAGGAGGGTCTCCGTCAAGAGGTAACCAACAAAATACGGGAACTGCGGATATGGGCCCGACTTTCCAGCGATGAGTACGTCCAGTACCGGAACGCGTGGCTCGAGGGGGACGAGACCTCCCGACACCGGTTCATACAGTATTGGCACGAAAATCGGCAACAGAGCCGACACTTTGACAAAACACACGTCGATTTCCAGCGAAGACTCTACTCCTCTGCCAAACAGTTCGCTATACTTCACATCCAAATGGACTTATGTTTGTCATCCCTGACCGACGTGTTGACGCAAATGCGGCTATACTTTGACCGTCAGATCAAACAACTGTTGCCTCCGTTGGGCTATTATATGGCATCCGAGCTGTTGATTGAGATTTTGATGACCATTCAGGACCTACACTCCCGGGACCCGCCGATCATACACCGCGATATCAAACCCGATAACCTACTGGTGCACTCCGAGCCCCATAGGGGAAAGTTCGTTAAGTTGGCCGACTTTGGCCTATCGGTGGAGCATAAGTCAAAATCCCAGTCTCACTCGCTATACGTGGGCACCGAGAGGTATATGGCACCGGAGGTTAAGGTGGGCGGCACTAAAAATGCACAGAAATGCCGATACACCCCGAGTGTTGATGTCTATAGTATCGGTGTTTTGATCCAGGACCTATTTAATGTGGACTTTAATAAGTATTTAGATATATTCTAATTAATTGTTTTTATTAATGAATTATTTTTTGCTAAAATAGTTGGAAGAATCAAGAATTGGACGATAAGTACAAGAATATTATGGAACTCACGTTATCAGCATTGAGTGGTCAGAGTTGGCAGAGACCTACCTGTGCTCAGCTGTTGACTGTGAGAAACCAATGGTGTAGGGATTATGATGATGTCAAACCACTTATCCTAGATCATATTAATCTAGAGACAAGTTATGATATAAAGACCGAATTTGTGCCATACTTTCTCAAAACTAAATACTTGCTCAATCAAAATATTCATTAAATAATTTATATATTTATTTAATTATTTCTTAATCATGCATTTAATATTGATTAAAATATAAGACTGTCGGAAAAGAAACTTCATTTTTTATTTGAAAATTAAAACTAATTTCTATTAAATACGGGAAAAACAATTCAAATTATGTAATGGCCATCGTTTTCGACAACTGTTGACCATCTCTCGGGCAGACGTTCGATACCCTCCTTATAAAAATGGCTGTCCTTTGAGGCAAAGAATTCGGTGATAGCTTTTTCGATCTCTTCTTTTGTCTTGAAGTTATTTTCTGTAAGGAATGACTGGAGAGGTCGGAACAACCAGAAATCTGATGGAGCGATGTCTGGAGAATATGGTGGGTGCGGGAGGATTTCCCATCCAAAGGCCATCAACTTTTGTCTCGTGATGTTTGCAGTGTGTGGTCTGGCATTATCCTGCTGAATGATTACCCCCTTTCTGTTGACCAGTGCGGGTCGTTTGGTGGCCAAAGCTGTCTTCAACCGATCTAATTGTTTGCAGTACTTATCAGCAGTGATGGTCTCATTCTGATCCAGCAGTTCCCAGTACACCACCCCTTGCCAGTCCCACCAAACACATAGCATCACTTTCTTAGGATGAGGACCTGGTTTTGCCGTCGGTATGGCTTTCTGGTCTTTGCTCAGCCATTGCCTCTTGGGCTCAACATTGACATAAAGAACCCATTTCTCATCTCCAGTTATAATACGTTTGAGAAATGGATCCGAATTTTCCCGTGAGGCCAGTGAAGTGCAAATCGAAACTCTTTTCAATAGATTTTCTGGTGAGAGTTTGTGTGGCACCCAAATGCAGGCTTTGGAGACCTTTCCGATTGCTTTCAAATGGTCACAAATGGTTGAGTGATGAAAGCCTAATATGTGTGACAATTCGTGACTTGAAAGTCTTGGATCGGCCTCAACCAGGTCTCGTAGGACATCGTTGTCCAGTTCTTGAGGTCGACCCGAACG